CATTTTACTGACATGATGCTATGTGAGATGGTAAGAGCCTTTTAGAAAGCCACTAGACCAGTTTCTAGTTTCATCTGAAAGCTTGAGGTGTAAGGATCTGCTCAGCTGTTCCTCTGACAGGCAAGAGTGGAAACTGAATCCCTGTAGATGAAGATGGCCACCCAGAACAGGAGGTTCAACTGGCAGCTGTAATGAAAACCATCCATGGGGTGTATTTGGCAGCTTAGTTCACATGTGATACACTGCTCTCTTTCTGCACTTGCCTTCTGTTGTGGTGGCTTCCTCATGCTGAACCAAAAAACGTGTACACAGGTGGTGCCAGTCGTGCCCTGGGACTTGGCACAGCAGGCCAGCTGGTGTGGGTGTCTTCTGTGAAACCCCTGCTCTTGCTCCTGAGAAGAGCCCAAGGGTTCTCTTGGCCTGCAATACCACAGCTGTCCTGGGGCACAGTGAAATGCTGTCGGGTGATGCCTCTTGGGCAGTGCAGGAAGATCTCGCAGTAAAAATGAGCTGCATGGAGGCCATAGTACCTGCTTGCACTAATGCTGGCAAAACTTTTCCCTTCAGCTTTTTGGGGCTGAGTTAGCTATGATTCAGCACTGCACACACTGCCATGCACTGTGGCAGCTTGTTAACATTTGCTCTTAGGTCTGTCTGTGACTGGGAAAGCTGTTTGTTTTGTGGTACAGTTGTCTGAAATTCAAGCTTTAGTAACATTGAAGTTTTAATAATAGAACAGGCTGTCCTATCCACAAACCTCAGTTTTCTAAAGAACTTGCTGTCTTGAGAGAGCAAAATGTGCTTGTTTTTGATTTCCCCTTTCCTCCGAACAGCAATCTGGCAGGTTGGAGGAGCAAGGTTGGAGCCCACCTGCAGTGAAGCCCTGATAATCATCTTCTCTCCTAGAGATACCTAATGCTGGTACCTTCCAGGCTATGCTAAATCTGAGCTAATTGCCAATTACTGGCAGGGCTGGCACAGTGTGAGAGGTAACCATAGTACCCCAGCAGTGGAGTGTTTCCACCTTTCCAGAGGTAGGCACTTAATTGCCCCCTTGTTTCTTTGTAGTGTGTGGAATGGTGCCCTGAACGCTTTTAATTGTTTTTTCCTTTCCAGTTGCTTGTGCAGTGGTACATGTTGTGCTGTCCTGTGGTCTGGGGATGCTGGTTCCTTACAAAGCAAACCTCTCGGAGCATTTCGAGTCTTGCTGCATGTACTTGCAATACAATGGCAGCTATTTGGCTGCTGTGCTGGCACTCCTTAGCCCAGAATAGGGACGTTAACTGTCTCTAGCTGCTTAAAACTTCCTGGCTCAGTTCAGTCTGAAAGCATTAGCTTCCAGCTGATGTCGTATAATTTGTCTTGGGTGCACTAAAACCGCAGGGAGAAAGCTCTGAGCAACGCTGCATTTTGAGATCGCAGTCCTGCTGAGCAGAACGTAATCTGGAGTGCTTCGTGTCCGTCATTCCTGCAGGAGTGCTGGGGATGACACAAGGAAGAACAGCTCGTTGCATGTTCGATTCTGAGCTGCCAGTGTGAGCACTGCCCATAATGTAGATTGATTACTTAATTGTGCACTGTAACAATGCTGTAATGAAGTTCTGTCTGGCAGCGCGCTCGCTGGGGGAGTCATGGTTGGCAATGGCCTGCCAGGCAACAAATGTCCCGTGTGCTTCGTGTGCAACACAGCCAGTTGGTTTTAGAGGTCCCGTGTTTGGAAAGGCCCCTTTTGGGATGTTGTAGCTGGCATGATTTCCCTGCCCTCCTTTCCCTAGTAAAGGTGCTCCGGCACTCGGCACACAGCTCATGTAGCAGCTCTGGAGGAGGCTTGGGATTTTGCAGAAATACCTGTTGACTTGTTCAGATGCAGTGGCTGCAAAGACCAAGAGGAAACCTGGAAATCTTATTACTATGCAGAATAACCTAATTTTTTTTCTAAGTGTTTTTGAACAGCAGCTTTCTTAGAAACATTTTGGCTCATTGTGGTGAATTTAGTAGATGTAACCACAAGTTTTTGGTTTGGGTTTTTGGGGGTTTTTTTGTGGTTTTGTTTTGTTTTGTTTTTTTAGACCTTACCATCCTGCAGAAAGGTCACAAACAGGTACAAGCTTGGTTTGGGAAGGCAAAACTGCTCTTCTGTGGTAGGACAGCAAGGTCTCAGTCCTGTGTGTGTGAGTTCTGCAGCCTTCTTGGTCACTTGTGGGCAGATCTGCTTCAGCTGGTGTCTTGCTGGTCTTGACCTCTCTGAGATGTGATCTCATTTAGTGATCATATACTGACTGTGCTTGTTTGAGGAAGGAGGTGAGCAGGGGGTGCTGACTGTTACTTTCAATTAGATGGCTGCCTAATGAACTGCTTGGGTGGGCAGATGAGCTGTACCCAGCAGACGGCAGCAGCAGCACACTGGCCAGGGCTGTTCCCCTCGAGGACAAAGGGTGACAGGTTGTCTGACTCCTTGGGTTTCAGCAGCCTGGGATGCCATGAGGTGCTCCGGCTGCTGCTGCTCCTCTGGCAAGCTGCGCACGTGCTATATTTCTGGATTCTGCGGGAATCAGTTAGTGCCTGAAATGGCTTTGGCTGAGTAAATAGTGGTGAAAGCACATCAAACCCAGGAAATGCACTTGATGTTGGTAATGGAAGGTGCTTTTGGATATAAACCCAGGCTGGAATTTGCTGAAGAGTGGGGCCAAGCACAGTACTATGGTATGTTAACCTAGTTTGAGACTTAAATGAGGGAGAGTGTATCATCTAAGAGACCCTTTTCATTTATTTGTTTGCATTAATAAATCATGAGGGCTTGTGAAGCCCACTTGTATTACCTCAGGTAGGGTGCTTTGGGCAGGCTGTTTCTAAGGCACGGTGATTTGACTGACTCTGCCTTATAGATAAGATGCTGTGTGCAATATAAATAACCACCAGTTACAGTGGCTCTTTGCAGGTGTGGGTTTGGTACAATCCATCTGGGCTCTGGCCAGCAGCTCTGCTAATGCCTGTGTCAGTTTGGCCAGTGTTTCTGGGGTTGTGGAACTTACTAGGCCAGGGACTGGGATGTGATGGGTGGCTTGCATTTAAAAACTAAAGGTACCTTCACAAGTGATTATTTACTGAAGAATAGGTCTCGGGAAGGCACACCTAGTCTTCCTCCTTGCTGTTCCCACCAGCTTCCCTAGCTCGCTGTCTGCTCCTTCCTCTCTGTCCCTATATAGGAAAAGTTGCATGAAATCTCTTCCTAGTTGGAGAGTCATGGAGTACCCAATGGGCAAAATGGTCCTGTCTCCCACCCATCACGTCTGGATATCTCTAATTCGTGCAGCAAGTGAGGCGTGGTGCGCAGAGCTTTATAATCTCTCGGAAGGCTGAGAATCTCTTCTTTCAGAGGAAGAAATGAACTGCGTGAGCTTGCCTTGAGAGTGTTACTTTCAGAAAAGTCGGAAAGGGTTGCTTTCATTCCCATCAACCTGTTACTCAAAGGAGCCTGCTGGGAATGAGAGGCCATTATATCTCCCCTAAGGCTTGTGCCGTTCACTGGGGTAGCTAACTGCTTTAATTGAGTGTTACATGGAGTATTCTTGGCTGGTGTGACCTGGAAGTCTGATAGCTGTCAGCATGGCTCAAAGCTCCTGGGAATAACGCGTGCAAGTGTCTGTGTGACTTTCTTGATTAGTGTGTATGGGGATCTTGGATATTAAAACCAATTAGTTATCTTTAAGGTCAGGAACTTATTTGACCTACCAGCATCTGTTTCAACTTGGCCTGAATTGAAGATCTTTGGAAGAGAGCTGTACAACTTCTGTAAAGAGGCTAATGAAGTGATGCTTTTTAAAGCACTTCCCTGCTGTCTCTGTAGCCCAAACACTTCAGGCAGGATGCTAGAGCCTGACAATCTGAAACAGCAGCAGGCAGGTGCTGTGTTAGTCTTCTTTTAACATAAGAAATGTAAAAGAGCAAACCCCATTAATTTTTTTTATGGCTGAAAAGCACTTTGTTGGTTCTCTAACTCAGAATCCTGAGTCGAGGTTTTTCACATAGCTTAGTTGGTTTGCCCTTGAGTGGGCTAGAGGACACAGGTATTTGATTTTTATGCTGTTACTCTAACGTCAAGTATGAGGTCTGGGTTAAATTTGAAACAATGTGGAAGCAGCATTTCCAACGTCTGGGATGCTTCTGAGGCAAATGGGAGATACCTGCTGGAAGGTGGACAGGAACTTCTCGATTCTGCTTTTGACTTTGGATGGATTTGAACCACGTGGCTGCTTTGGGGATTAAGACCTCTGCAGGATCCACTCTGAAGCCGCAGGAAAAATGAATATAAAATTTACTGTTTTTCTTTTAACTTAAGCCAGTTCTGTGATTTGTGGGGTCTTATCTCCTGACTCCATGCCTGGGGTTGCTGCTTCTGAACTAGCAGTCTTATGCTTAAGCGTGCTTTATTTAAAGCAGTTGGTGAGCTTCTCTATAAAGCAAAGTACTAGTGGGAAAGTAAAAAAAGACTAACTGCTGCAAAAGGATCCTTCCAGTTCAGTTTCCTGTATTAACCTGAGGAGAACAAAGTGTTAAAACAGCACTTGGGCTGGCTAGTGCTCCAGCTGTCTGAGAACAAATGGCTTAAAAATGTCCCTTAAGTATGTGGCTGCACTGATTTTAATAACCTCTGCTGGGGACTGCTTACAGGCCTTTAGCTTGCAGCCCTTAGCCTGTATGTATGTTCTTTTTTTCCAGAGTAGCATCCCAAGTTTTGGGGCAGCTTTTGGAGGACTTGCTTGGTAGTGGCTAACCTGAACACTTGCTTATGGAGTCAGATCCTCTGAAGAACCTGTTTTGTTTTCTTTTCTCTCCTGTTATGGTCCAGCAGAAGGGGCATTACAACAAGAACAGTGAAGTGAAGCATCCCTGGGGGAGGGAGGAGAGCCAGCTGCATGCATGGAATATGGTATGAATACACTTGTTGCTTTGGCTGCTGGCTGCTCACAACCACTCTTTTTTTTTTTTTCTTTCTCAGCAATGGTACCAGCATGATATCGTTGATCATTCCCCCCAAAGACCAGATTTCACGAGTGGCAAAAATGTTAGCGGATGAGTTTGGCACCGCCTCCAACATTAAGTCTCGAGTGAATCGCCTTTCAGTACTGGGAGCCATTACATCTGTACAGCAAAGATTGAAACTCTATAACAAAGGTAACTTCTAGCTTGTATGGATGCTGGCAGACTTCCCTTACTTGGAAGCAGCCTTAATTTCCTGCATTATGCTGTTTTCTGCTAATCAAATCTGTTGGCCTGTGCTGCTGTTTTGCAATGATGCTCCAGGTATGTTGCCCATGGGTGGCTTCTTCAGGGGTAGATCTCGGGACTAGAATAGTGAGATGGTCTTTGTCTTTAATAAGCGGGCTCATGATTCTGTCCTTCGCAGTGCTGACTCTTCTAAACTTGGCCAGCCTTAAGAGCTTTTCCTCAATAGTTCATTTGCATTAAACTAGTGGGTTTCCATCAAGGAGAAACTTCTGTCTGCGTTATGCATGCCACCGTGCAGCTACCACCATCTGGGGAGGAAATAGACCCAGGCCATCTAAGATGAGTACTGGGAAAGCATTCATCGTTACTGCCTTTACACTGGCAAGTGGCCTTCATTGAGGTGGTCAGTCTGTAGATCACTGTATGGGAACTAAGAAAGCTTCACAGGGATTTTCAGCCTTTTTCTCAGTTCTATGAGCTTGCAAGCTCGTGTGTTTAACTGTCAGGTACATGTTCTTGCAGCTCTGTTGCAAGTCTTTCCATCTTTAGCTTCCTGCTTTAAACTGTTCAGTATAGATGCACTAAACTCGTTTGTTTTCCATTGTAGAGATCTAGGAGGGAATGAGGTGGGGGAAATGGAAAGTAAAAAGCTGGGAAAATTAAATTTCAACTCTGCTTTAGGTCTCAAGGCTTAGTAGTTAGTTTATGATGGATACAGTTTGGAATATTTCTTTGTGATCTAAAATTGCATTGTGTCCTTTATAGTACCTCCAAATGGTCTGGTTGTTTACTGTGGAACAATTGTGACGGAAGAAGGAAAAGAGAAGAAAGTCAACATTGACTTTGAACCTTTCAAACCAATCAATACGTCGTTGTATTTGTGTGACAACAAATTCCACACAGAGGTAAGAAGTCTCCTGTTGTCTGCTGCTCTTGCAGTGTTCAAAGTCAGGCTGCTTTGCTGGACTCACTGGAACAATCCTTGGTGTGCTCGAGTCCACAGTCTGTAGAACTGCAGGCTTTGAGACATCCTGCTGGTGAAGCCACTGGGTGGCTTGTGACTGGCTAGTATGCAGAAAGGTGTGAGATTTGCTGAAAGGAGTTGAGATACTGTCCAGCTCCTACTACAGCAAACTCCTACTACAGCCCAGCTAGTAACTGCTGAGTTTGTGTAACCCACAGACATAAGCTTTTCTCTGTAACTGGAGGCAGGATTTTTTTCCTTAACCTTAGAGGCCCATAGGTCTTATTCCAAGCCAGGCCTTAAAGTAATGCTGAGATATTTGTGTTGCCAGTCTTGGTATCAGATGTGTTAACTGAGACCTTTGATGGAGAACTGGCAAGTGCCTAATCTGTCTGGGGTAAAGTGGGATTATTTTTATCCAACATCTGCTTATTTTAGTTAAATGAATGGTTTGAGGTACCTTTAAAGTACTGTGGATTACAGTAGTCTTGACTGCATGAAGTCAGTTTATTGCATGAAGTCAGTTTATTGCATCAAAGTCTGTTTTGGCTCTGGTGGCAGTTGCAGAGATGTCAGTATTTGTAGTAGGTGACTGACTTTCACATTTGTGGTGTTCGCCATGATAAATGTGTAGATTGAGACTTAATTGCCTGTTATCAAATCCGTATGACATGGGCTTCACAGCCCCTTCAGTGATGTAGTTGTGCTTGTTTGCTTGGGTTTTTGGAGGTCTGGCCCACGATTTGGTTTCATAGGAGTACAGGAAGGAAAGGTATGCTTGTTGCTCGGGTGAGGTACATCCCTGTTATTCTCTCTCCATACCAAGGATGAAATCCCAATACATCTTTGACCTACCAGGAATAACAAAACCGCACATGGGTATATCTCTTGAGTTCTGCTGAGCCCATGTGTCCATAGGCAATTGAAAGCAAGAGGTAAATAAGAGAAATCAGGAGAGAGCCAGAGGTGGAAAGCCAAGGGGAGATGTTTGTCCCAGCAGTTGTTGGTAGTGGGAGGATAGTGGTGGGTTGCCATCGGCTCTGTCAGGAGAGGGATTCGTTTGGTCTTGGCTGTGGCTACCGCCTTCAGGGCACTAATTCAATACAAAAAAAAAAGTAGCTGCTGCCCAGTGGGCTGTTCCCAGGAGGCAGCTGTGAATACGCTCTTGCTGGTGTGGAGCATTGTTTAGCAGAAGCGGCAATAACTTGAGAGGAATTTGTGGTGATTTCTGCTACTGATGATGTGGTTGCTAACGACACCTTTCTCCATGGGCTGTTTGCTCTCCTGTGCCTTTTGAGAATGAGATTATTTGATTTGGTATTGTATGTACTGCAGAATGAAATCTAGTAGTAGAAGCCTGCTGTATACTGTCTTCAGTTAGCACTGAAGTCTTGATTTACCTATCTCATTTGGTTGTAGAGCTGTGCTTTTTAACACAGTGGTTCCCCCAAACATACAACTAGAACTCAACAGGCAGAACATCTGGCTCGGCACAGCAACACATTTCCTATGGAAGTGAGCAGAAAAAGGACATGATCTTCACCTTCAGGCTGAAGCTGCAGAGAGAAAACTCAGCCCAGGCTGAAGAAACAATAAAAGCAGTGGTCCCTTTTTTTTGTGCTTGATAGGTCAAACAGTGGAATAGCTGACATAGAACTAATGAAGGGGAAACTGAGGAAATCACTGATCACTGGGTACTTTATTAAAATAAGAGGGAATCAAGAACATCAGACCTGTAGTCATCTGCTGCTGGCAAGAGTATCTGATAAGATTTCCTCTGGATATTTTATTGCCTGCGTGAAACCGAAGTAACTTCCCAAGAGGCATGTGAACCCTGATGTGTGTCTGAAGGGTAGGATTTACAATGACTTATTTTGATACCTTGGCTGGAGCATTCATTCCAGTCACACGATTTGCCTGGCTCTGTCCCAGTTAAAAAGATTGCAATGTAATGTGCCACTTCCTCCCCTCATTCATCCCACTGCTGAGGAATTAATACAGAATATTTATTTTGGCCAGTAGATTCCATTAAACCATGGTGTCTGTTTCTTTTAAGCTTGAAAGCTGTAGACTTGGTTGTGTGGATTTTGGATAAAGATGACTGATGGTTTTTATCCGTTCCATTCAGCCTAATAATCGGGCTGCCAGGCATGCAGGCAGTTAAGGGTCCTGTGCAGTAAACCAACACCATCACTCTTTCAGTATTAAACTGGTGACTTAAAACAATCTGGAATCTGACAAGTTCTCTGTCCTGTTGATGTGTACTTTTGTCAGCCAGAAAGAGGATTCTCGCTATTACTTTTTTTATTGGGCATGTACAAGTGAACAGGAGCGTGTGTGTGTTGGTGCTGAATATGCCTACCCATTCAGGCTGCCCTTGAGGGAAAGGCAGCTGACGGATTTCTTCGGAAAAGCAGTGCTTTAGTTGTTAGTCAAGTTCAGTGACCTTACAGGATGAATTTAGCTGCCTTCTTTTAAGAGAAGAAAATTGAAGGATAACTTCATTTTCCAGCAAACGTTACGGCTGTCTTTTCTGTGGCCAGCTATGCACAGGACAATTACTGTGATTATTGCTGTTACTTAATTCTGCCTTGTAATGCTGAATTTGTCGGAGACACTATAGACTTCATCATTCTGCCGTTGGGATTTGAGGTCAGCAAGTGCAGCAAACCCATATTTGTGGTGGTTGGCAAGTTGAAAGTCTGTATCAGTGCTTTGCAGTATGAAAAATGAACTGACACGTAGCTCAATCGGTGAACTAAGCAAGTTCTGCTTTCCTGGCTGGAATGCTAGGAAAACTACTCTTCCAGTTTTGCCAACCAGAAGGGTGATGTGGCCTCACAGAGGTGTGATCCAGTTCACTTAACACTTTCCAGAGCCAGTATTTAGAATTCTGCTGTTACACCTGCCTGTGATATCGTGTGATGAACTGGTAGTGCTGGAGAAATAACTATCAAGCTTAAACATTAGTTTCCTTTCTGCTCGTGGCAGCACTGTGTGAGATGGTAATCTGGGATAGTCCCAACTCCCAAATCTGCTGCTCTTCTAGTTTTGTTTTGTTTTTTTTTTTTTGTAAAAAATAGCAATGACCACCTACAGAACTAAAATTTATTGAGGTGTATTGTGTCTGGTAGCCTTTCTGAACCAGGGTCCTTCATAAGCCTGTGCTTACTGTTGACAACATCATTTTCTGTTCCAGGCTCTTACAGCGCTGCTTTCTGACGACAGCAAGTTTGGCTTTATTGTAATAGATGGTAGCGGTGCACTCTTTGGAACTCTTCAAGGAAACACAAGAGAAGTCCTGCACAAATTCACTGTGGATCTTCCAAAGAAGCATGGTAATGCACTGGTCTGCCACTAGACTGTTTACAGCAGAATACTGCAGGGTGGGATGTGAGGGTAGAAGCAGGGAACTTGGCCTGTAGGTGTTTAGCTCAACTCAGTTCTTTGCTCCTTAGAAATCTGACAGCAAAGCCTCTAGTCTGAGCCTTCTGTCAAAATTAATGCATCGCTGTAATACGGAGTTGATCTTCAATTGGTGCTTTTCATTTCTTGGTGCATTTGACACTTTACTTGGTTTTGGGGCAGTCTTAACTAAGTATTACTAGCAAAAGTAGTAATACTGCTTGGGAGTATCTTTCAAATTTGCATCTGATGGTGTTGCATGCATACCACAGTGAAAAGCAGGAAGCTGTTCCTTGCAAGAAGCACAGAAGCCTAATGGAGCAAGCAAAATTCTATTTCTGCTACATGATACTGTATGTTGTGAACCACTGATGAGTTCAGCAAATTGTCTGCTAGCTACTCCTGGCTTACCATCCTTGTAGATTAGGATGAGACAAAATGAAATAGAAATGTCTTCCCCAGTTTCTGTAGCAGATACTGCTGGGATGCATTGCCTTGGCAAGAAAAGTATTTGAGGCAGTGTAACAAAGGAAATTGCTTTTAATGAAGGTACAAGACATGGAAGTTTTGAACATCTGTGCACATTTTCTATAGAGAGTTTTGAGTCTCTATGAAGAGAAAAAAAACCCCACCAACATAATTCCCTCTGTGGGTTACACGGATAAAATTTTCTTGCTGTGAATGAACCTTCTTTATTCACTTGCTGTTTCCATGAGTGCCCTTGGCTCTGCTTGTGGCAAACTAATTCTGAAGGCTGCAGCTGCCCTTGGCTTCAGTTATTCAGGGCCCAGTTGGGACCATGTACTAATAACCTTCCTGAAATGAAATGACTTCCAAATTGCTACCTCACATCTGTTCTCTCATAAAGGTAGAGGAGGTCAATCTGCCTTGCGTTTTGCTCGTTTGAGAATGGAAAAACGACACAACTATGTAAGGAAGGTAGCAGAGACGGCTGTGCAACTGTTCATTTCTGGCGACAAGGTGAACGTGGCTGGTCTCGTTTTAGCTGGATCAGCTGACTTCAAAACTGAATTAAGTCAATCTGACATGTTTGATCAGGTAAGTGACCTTTTCTGAGCAAAGCCCAAATGTTTAAGCTGTCAGTAGTAACACGGTGATATTAGCAGTAGCTCTGGTATGAGATGCATCTCAGGAGGAATGTAATTTTGGTGTCTTAAGTGATTTGATCAAAACTAAAACCTGATATCCTAAAGACGTCTCCCTTTCTAATACCTCCTGCAAGGTGGCATGATCTCCTTTTCTTAATAACAAGAAGGCAAGATGATCTCCTTAATAACAAGGAGGCAAGATCTCCTTTTCTTAGTAACAGTGCTACTATAAGTGCTACTATCTGTCCTTCCTGGTTTGAAACTGGCATTCATGTTCTTTGTGTTCCCAAATCTAAACCTGAAGAAGATTTATTGGAATTAAACTTGACTAAACTTAATCTGTGTCCCCATTTCCTGAAAATTGTGCTTCAGTATTAAGCATTTAGTGGTTCCTCTGACTCAGAATCTCTGCTTGCAAGTGAAGCAGAATAGATTAATGCTGTGACTCGTGTCAGGTACTTATTCTTGTGGCATTATGAAGTAATCTTACAGCAGTGCTGTGTAATAGACTCTTCTTTCATGTCTCTTTTTTGTTTAGCGGTTGCAATCTAAAGTGCTCAAACTAGTTGACATTTCATACGGAGGAGAAAATGGATTCAATCAAGCAATTGAGTTGTCAACTGAGGTCCTCTCCAATGTGAAATTCATTCAAGAGAAAAAACTAATAGGTATGTGACTATATGTTTGGCCTTCTCACAAGCCTAATGTGCTTGACTGAATATGCTCATCTTGCTTTTAGACTTCCTGGTAATGTCTTTGTGTGCTGCCTCAGCCCTGTGATACTTTCTGAATTGGGCAGAGCATGACTTGTAGTGATTTTGTTACCTGGACACCTTCTCAAATGCTGCAGGACTTAAGGAGTACTTTAGAAGTGGGTTTTTTTGTTGTTTTTTTCCCCATCAAACTTCTCAGATCTTTGTTTATCCTTTCATCAGAGATTGCCTTAGTTTCAGGCCTTCTGGTGACATTTGGGTGGGAGAGGAAAAAAACTCCTCAGATTGTTTGTACCATCAGCAAGATGAGAGTTAAGATTTATTTTGTTTTAAGATGACAGTAGAAATGATCCCCTGTTTGACTGTCAGCAGACACATTGCTAATTTGAAAGCACAGGAGGACAACAGTAACAGTAGCTACTTTACAGTGAAAAGAATGAAGTTAAATAGCGCCTGCTGGTGAGTTAGTCCAATTGACTGGTTCACAGTGAAGGGTAAGCCTTTCATTGGAGTGAGGTTCCTGACAGGGTGGTGTTTGATGGAGTTGGCTTTCTACTGATGAATTTTCTAAATTACATGCTTGGATGTGTCGTATCCCTTGCTTCCTTCAGCAGCATTGCCGTGTCCTTCTGCAAGTTTCTTCTTGCAGTCACATCAGGCTTGTATAAAAATCCATGTGGCATGATCAGTGTTCACGATTATTTCTTTGTATCCTCTCTGCAGGACGATACTTTGATGAAATCAGTCAGGACACGGGGAAGTACTGTTTTGGCGTTGAAGATACACTAAAAGCTTTGGAAATGGGAGCAGTAGAGATACTGATAGTCTATGAAAATCTGGATATAATGAGATACGTCCTGCATTGCCAAGGAACGGAGGGTAGGTAGCACTTCTGTGAGACTGCAAGGTCCATGAGGTTTTAACACCTAAGCCGTCCCACTTGAAAAGATTATGCAGAAGGAACTCCTTAAGTAGATCTTCAAGGACTTGGTCAAGGGGATGTTATGTAGGCAGGTCATTAACTTGCAGTTTCCCAGCTACTCTGGGAGAAGAGTCTGAAACTAGTGAGCTTCCACTGTGAAGGAAGAATTGCAGCGCTGCAGTGGCAGTTTGTCATAGAGCTAGCATGAAACCTGCGTGTCAGCTGTATAAGTATAAATGGGATACCAGTGCATTACAGAGAGGAGACTGACTTGACCCTTACGGCCAGAAACACAATTCTGAACTGACTAGAGACAAACCATATGCCTACAGCAGGATCTCTGCCTTTTTTGGTGTTGACATGACAGTTACTCTCTATTGGTGTGCCCTGTTTGGTTTCCCTCTTTAACCTGCATCTGGTAGTCTTACCCAACCTAATGTTTGTTTGTTTGTTTGTTTGTTTTTCCCCACTCAGAGGAGAAGATCCTGTATTTGACACCAGAGCAGGAGAAGGATAAATCCCACTTCACAGATAAAGAGGTATTTCGGCTTTGGGGCTTGTACATTTATTCTCGGTGTACTGGTGCAGCGTTCTGAACATCTGAGCTGACCTTTCTGGCACTCAGATAAGACTTCAAGATGGTAGCCTGTGGCTCTTCCTGTTCACCTTCAATGTAACCTCTGGATTCTAGACTTGCATTTCTCCAATCTTTCCTGCTGCCAATTCCAAGGTTGTGTAAAAGAGCTGAAGTGACAGGCAATACGGGGTCTTTGACCACCATCAAACCACCCACTAGAAGAGTTTGGTAGCCACCATGCAGTGTGCAGGCTAAGGTCTCAGACCATCACTCCCTGCTTATTGGTCAATAAAAACCAACTGAGGCTAGAAACTTACATGGATTTAAGTGCAAGAGAGTGTTTACTTTTAGCTGTATTTGAAATATGGATCTGTCATTCACTGCCTATGAGTTTCTTACCCGTGCAGAACAAAAAAACCCTGTCCTGGGGGCAGCAGGGAGTGTGTGTCTTTATTACTTTGCAGGGTAAGCTGGGCGAAAAAGTCTGTCCCTTGCAAAAATATTGGTCATCTGTCTTGTATTAGGACTGCCAGGGTAGCTGTTTGCAGCTGCTTTTCCTGCTGGTGGGGTAACTGCTAATTCCTTTTGTGCACAGGTTTACAGTGTTGTCTGAAATGATGTACTGGTTCTATGTCAATAATCACTTGACCTTCTACTTATAAAACTATGCTTTTTGCCGCTTTGTATTTGCCTAGATCAGTATGTCCTGGAGTAAACAGTGCCTGGTTAGATGAGTGGCCATGGTCTGTGGAGTATAAAGCAAATCAAAAAACAGTGAAAACTAAGAGTGTAGCATAAAGTGACAGCTTAGCAGAAGAATAAGCAAGGCATTTTTTCTCTCCCACTTCTCCACTAACTTCTGTAGTATGGAAGCCCAAACCAAGGCTTGACAATATTTAATTTCGTTGCACCAGGAGCCATCTGCCTGTGCCAGCTCTTGTCTGATAAGAGGTGTCAGGAATGCCTACTGCCTGGACCCTGGCAAGTGTGTCAGACTGCTCCAGCCTGTGGAGCATGAAGGCTGGTGTCTTAGGATTGAAAAGAGTGGTGATCTTTAAGCCAAAGACTACCTTTAGGAACAACTTTCTCAATACCTAACATGCAGTGTCCATAACATTTTTTATTTTTTTTCCTCCCCTCGAATGACTACAAAGACTGGCCAGGAACATGAACTGATAGAAAGTATGCCCCTTCTGGAGTGGTTTGCAAACAACTACAAGAAATTTGGAGCAACATTGGAAATTGTTACAGACAAATCACAGGAAGGATCCCAATTTGTGAAAGGATTTGGAGGAATTGGAGGTAAACTGCTGGAGAGAAATGTTTGTCGTTTTTAATGGTTGATTTTATAATCTGGTGCCAACACAAGTGGGATTAATCTTACTCCTATTAGTCAGGTACCAGTTTAAGAAAGTATCACGTTCATCAGGGATCTCCAGGTGAATTCATTTCATGTTCAGCAAGATGATGCTCTGTGTTAGGCAGCTGTCACTCTGTTCCTCAAATCCCTTTGTCCTTAAGAGTGCTCAGAGGGTGGGCTGTCCTTCTTCCCAGCTGCTGAATTTCAGAAGGGCAGTGAACTGCTTCATTCTGTCTGGACAGTTTTGTGGCAGACCGTGCCCTACTATGTAGAAGCTGTGTACACCAAACACCAGCCTAGTTTCTGAAGCAGTTGGGTATCTGTTACTCATCTCTCAGAACTTCCCTGTACTCTACTCCCTGGTCATCCTCTTTTCAAAATAAAAGGTATTTTTAGTCCCACTTTATGGAGAAGTGAGGCTTCTGAAATCCTTCAGTCCTTCTCACCAGATGGTGAGGGGTCTGGAGAACAAGCCTGATGAGGAGCGGCTGAGGGAACTGGGGTTGTTTAGCCTGGAGAAGAGAAGGCTGAGGGGAGACCTCATCACCACCTACAACTGCCTCAAGGGAGGTTGTGGAGAGGTGGGTGCTGGTCTCTTCTCCCAGGTGATGGAGGATAGAACAAGGGGAAACGGCACCAAGCTGTGCCAAGGGAGGTTCAGGTTAGAGATAAGGAGGAAGTTCTTTCCTGAGAGGGTCATCAGAAGCTGGAACAGGCTGCCCAGGGAGGTGGTGGAGTCACCATCCCTGGATGTGTTTAAAGAGCGGGTAGATGAGGTACTTAGGGATATGGTTTAGTGGGTAGACAGGAACGGTTGGACATGATGATCTCAGAGGGCTTTTCCAACCGAGCGATTCTGTGTTTCTCATGAGCTCACTGGACAGTTTCAGCTAAGGCTGGCAGAGGTGCAGGGAGCTCATGTGCTTCAGTCAAACAAAAGTCTTTAGCAGGGTAGAGCAAAAACCACCTGCCATGCAGCTTGCTCTCCCCAGGCCAGGGATTTCAGGACAAAGCTGATGCTAATTAGCTGCTAAGCAAACTGTTGCCACTTGCTGTGTTCAGGTTGATGGATGTAAAACAGATGAGTGTATTGTGAAGAGGAATTTCTAGGGGCCAGAGAACTTCAGTCAGAAGGAAACAAGCTTTAATTGTTTGGCTGTGTGAGGAGCAACAGGTTTCTAAGTTTTCAGGGTTTGTAATTCCAGAAGTCCTTCCTGTCCTGCCAGACCCAGGCTCTTTGCATGGTGGGGTACTCCTTGAAACCATCCTCCAGTCCCTGCAGACTTGAAAGGAAATACTCTGAATACCCTTCACCTAAGTAAATGTTTCTGGGGATAAAAGCTTCCCAGAAACCTAGGTTAGTGTTTGGGTGGAAGACTCCAGGAAGACAGCCACTAAATACTGCTTTTACTCCACTGTAAAAGTTATTTCAGTGCCAGCTGCCTTCTGAATTTAACTGACAGGCCTTTGTCTGAGCAGTTGTATTGGGTCAAATGATGAGTTGGTCTTTTCTCCCAGGTGATGGGGGATAGAACAAGGGAAATGGCACCAAGCTGTGCCAAGGGAGGTTCAGGTCAGAGCTAAGGAAGAAGCTCTTTACTGAGAGGGTCATCAGAGGCTGGAACAGGCTGCCCAGGGAGGTGGTGGAGTCACCATCCCTGGATGTGTTTAAAGAGTGGGTAGACGAGGTACTTAGGGATATGGTTTAGGGGGTAGACAGGAACGGTTGGACGTGATGATCTCAGAGGTCTTTTCCAACCGAACGATTCTGTGATTCTGTGAGTTACTGGTATTTTTTTGGAGATACAGTCCTCCTAGAATAGGCTCAGCGTTTCCAGAAGAAAGCTGGCCTATGCTGGGCAGGTAGGTATTTCTTCCTTCTGGCAATAAATTGCATCAGGCTGTAACATGAATGTGGCATTTTCACTCTAGCTGTATGTCTGCTGTCCGTCGCCACTTTGAGCCTCACTTGCAATACAAATGCTAAGTCAGCTTCTGAAACTTTAATTGAGAAACTCTTGATGTGCAGACAGGGCTCAGTAGACTGCTTGAAATGCCTTTCTAGCTCATTGAATTTTGAAGAAGCTAAAGCATGTTGTTCTTACCAGGTATCTTGCGGTACCGAGTGGACTTCCAGGGAATGGAATACCAAGGAGGAGACGATGAATTTTTTGACCTTGATGACTACTAGGTAGTCGACCTGGGTCCGGCAAAACGTGCCTCGCCCCTCCAGCATCCAACCCAAGGAGCAAACTCATGGTGGAAAACGCAACAGATCCCTGCCTTAGAATTGGAACATTTCCAGAACTTGATCCACAAACATTGGATTTAAAAAAGCAAAACCCTACACTTTGATTTGTCATAGTGTCAGTACAGCAGCAAACTACTAAGTTCCTATATGCCACTTTGGACTAATTTAAAAAGAATCCCAGTTTTTACTTTTACTCAATGGTGAAATTGGTTGCTCTTGTATTTTATGAAAATGATTTTTTTAACCTTCATGATACATTAACTGCTGTAAACATCTTCCTTCAAAAATTAATAGAAGTAAGATCCTACTGGTTTGTTTCTTTTTACTTTGATTGGAGAAATCAATTGCTGCGTTTTGCAGCAACATGACCCATTTACATGGCATTCTCAGCTTAGACTGCAGAAGAAGAAATGTAATGAAATCGGAGCCATTCATTCTCCTCGAAAGAATGAGAAGGCACTTAACCTAGAGTGCTAGCTTGTAATGTGTGGCTTGCAAATTCAGATGGTTTGGGGAGGCTTACCAGCCAAACGTGCTTTAATCTGTTTGCAGAAGCACTGCTCTTACAAACTGGGAAATGCACTTCGTTGATTGCAGTGAAAATGCTGCTGAAGTCTTGGGCTTAATTTGGATTTGAGCAGTGCAGCCTTCAGGATTATTTTTTTTTTTTTAGTTTTGAAAAATAAACATATGATTTAAGTGAGGTAAGGTACACTTTGGTTTGTTTTGTTCCTCAGTAAGTTTTTCTTCTTGCTTTAGGGACTGCGTAAGGTTTCCTTGATTATGTGAATTTGAACCCACAGTTCTTTAATTGAAGCGGGTATTCTATAGGAATAATGAGTAAGTGGAGTCCTTGACTGAAGCCTTAGTACTGGTGCATTTGGAGCGTTTGGTCCCAATACGTTGAACATCAGCACAACCTGACGGGGACATCTGTTTCCCAGCACTAAGGCAGGCTGTTGTATTGGCTTACGAGTGTCCTGTCAATCTGATGCTGAACTCTAATGCACCCTTCATGGGTTAAGACTTCTGGTTGCATCAAGACTCGAGAAAGCTTGTTGTCATGCCTGCTATATAGAATGCATTTCCACCTACTAGAAATGGCTAAGGGTTTTTCAGGCAGTCTGGCAGGCAGAGGGAGAAGTGAACACTGGCACGAGATAATGCACACGTCTTGCTTCTTTTCGGGGGTTCCTGGGTTCTCCGATGGGCACTCCGACGTGGCGCTGCCTGGGCACTCTGGTTTTCACTGGCTCTGTCCTGGTGCGTCGGTCGAAAGCAGCAGCTGTTCCAAGCTGCACACCTGCCTATTTTTCCAATAATCCTGTTTCACTTGAATGGAGAGGGAGCTTGTCTTAAAATTTCTGCCACCCTGTTCTTTGAGGTCCAAAATTGCTGTCATTGTGAACAATATCACTTGTAACCCTGGTTTGTGACCTGGCAGATGGCTTTGCTGTCATTTTCCCATCAAAGCTGGAATCTCTTACGGAAGGTGTCGCTGGGTCTGCTGTAGATTTGCACAAACCCAGGTTTGAGCACATTTGCGGTTTTCACAGCCATATGTTCTGGATTTTGCCATTGTAAATGGGTCTGATGTGACATGACAAGACCAGAAAAATTGGATGTAAATTTACATTTTTGAATATACTGCTTGTTGTTTCACATGATACATTAGGGTATTCAGCTCCTTTTTGTAGTTTTTATTTTTACTATTTAAGTTTGGAAATGATGCCAAATTTTTGTATTTCTTTAATCAATGTGTTCTCTTCAGTGATATATATTGCATTATATATTGATGTGTATATCAATATATACTGATATGTATTACACTTACACATACAAACACGTTAAATGGGGGTGAAAAATCCTAGCCTTTGCATACTATATAGCCTCTGCAGAGAGATCCCAAGCAGTGATATCTTGGTGTTGTGATGTACAGAAATGGAGAAGAGTATTAAACCATATTTAAGAATATAGTACGGACTCCTGATTCATTTTCTTTAGTCCAGGATACACCTGCTTTACTCTCAGCTTGGTGCCAGCTTCAGGTCAGTACTTGAGTGTTGAGGTAGCTGTTTCATAGTTAGAATATTCATAGTTGAATATTGATGTCAAATCACGTTTGATGTCAAATGACAAGGGGCAGTGGGTGCAAGCTGGAGCACAGGAGGCTCAATCTGAACATGAACAAACTTTTTCACTGTGAGGGTGACAGAGCATGGCCCAGGCTGCCCAGAGAGGTTGTCTGGAGACATTCAAAACCCACCTGAACACGTTCCTGTGTGACCTGGTCTGGTGATCCTGCTCTGGCAGGGGTTGGACTGGATGAGCTTTCAAGGTCTCTTCCAACTCCTGATGTTCTGTGATTCTGTGATTGTGTTTCTTGTTCTCATACAAAGTTGCTCTTTTAAGCTGTAGCAGAAATCTGACTTCAGAAGGGGGGGGAACCCAACAACCCAAGTTCAGAGAAAGTTGTGCTGTGAGTGTCACCTAAGGTGGTTCCTGAACAACTGAGGCAGCTGAAAAATGCCCTGCAGATACAGAAACCTGCCCTTCATATTTCAGGTACAGAGCACCTGGGCATTTCTGATAAGAAGCCGTTGCTATCCTACCTTTTAGTGCAGGACTGACCTGGGTCAGTAGTGTTCCTCCTGCGTGGACCTGCTGCCTCCGGTTTCTCCTGTGTCCCAGCTCGGTGTATCCATGACTTTCCCAGGGAGGACCATCCTCCTTCCCAAGCTGGGAAAGCAATATGTGAAAGACATCATTAATATCTGGAATTGTAATGGGTGCTTTTAAATCACCTGCCAGCAGTGATTGGCTGAAGCTGAGCATCCTCCTCCTCACGCCGCAGTACCAGAGCAGCACGGGATCTGTCCCCTGGAGCTGTTTGTCCATTGCCGTGCTGTGCAGGCTCACACAGCAGCAGGTGTTCCTGGGACCGTAGGCAGACTTAGTTTTTGTATTCACTTCCTCACACTGTCTTTGGTCTGCAGCTGTAGCAGACAGCAGAGCATGGCCTATAGTCCTTGAGTCTCCAGATAACAGAAGTTTTGGATGTGTGATGTTCCTGCTGGAGCAGAAATAAAAATTATGCGCAAAACCACTTTGCTGCCTGAATCTTGTGCTGTTCGTACAGAAAACTAATCACCATTGGGCACGTGGTGCAGATAAAAGGATCCAGCTGAGATTAGCACAAAATGTAAAAAATAAAATAACGCCACCAGCCAGCACAGGTCACGGGAGAGGCTGTTGCTTGCAGAAAACTGCCCCTGCGGTGTCACCGGTTGGTGTAACCAGGCATGTGGATGGATATTGTTCTCAGAAGAACAGAAGTATTTCTCAGTTAACCCTTTACTGGCAGTAACAGCAAACCTGGTTTCTGCTTTTCAGTTTTGGATTTCAAGGGAAAAGGAGGAGCAGGGAAGCCTGGCTGCTGTGGAGGATGCCTGAGGGCTGTCTCGTTCAGTGTCACAGATGCTCCACACCAGATGTGCTTGCAAGCTGCTATTTCCTCACGTACTTATCTTCTTGGCTGGTTCTCAGGTTTCTTCCCCTTCACATCTGTGAGAGAACACAAGTGTGTCTGGTCTGCAGAGCAGCTGTGGGAGCTGTGTGATGGGTCCCCTCAGTGTCCCCATCTGGTCCCCTGCAGGCTGACTGCAAAGGTGCTCACATCTGTAACCCCTCCCAGAGGCATCTCACCATTACGGAAAGATGAGGCCACTGGAGAGAAATGTGGTGAAACCATTTTCTTCCTTGCAGCTGCCAAAATAAGGTTGCTGAGTCCCTTTAACCCTTCAGAAAGCAGTTTCTGTCATGGGCTTGGTGGTGTCCCAGTTGCAGGGGTCGGTGTTAGCACGCGAGGTTCCTTGTATTTGAAAGTGTTGATTTACAGTTGTCTCTTTTCATGTCAGATACCATGGAGCATTAGGTGGGTTCTGCTTGGCGTATAGACGGGAGCATTACCTTGCAGTGCTCTCAGCTGGGAGACGTGACTGCCTTGGCGCACTGGATTGCTGTAACTGGGAATTTGGAAGGGAGTTTGGTGGGGCCGAGTTTGTGCTTTCAGGCACAAGTGGATGCAGGTTTGTCTTTGAAAGCTGGGCAGGCTGGCTCCACTACCTGCTGTGCTGCGGGCTGATAAATAATTATTCCCCTGGAAGTGATCTGATCATAGAATCACAGAATGATTTGGGTTGGAAGGGACCTTAAAGCTCACCCAGTCCAACCCCTGCCATGGGCAGGGACCCCCCCACCAGACCAGGTTGCTCAAAGCCCTGTCCAACCTGGCCTTGAACACCTCCAGGGATGGGGCATCCACAGCTTCCCTGGGCAACCTGGGCCAGTGTCTCACCACCCTGACAGTAAAGGGTAAACTATCTTGATGAGCTGGAATTAAGAGAATAAATAGTCATTTCCAGGATGTTGTGTGGAGCCGCTTTTGTGCATCTTGGAGAGGTTTAAAGTGCCCCAAGGGTTCTGTCCCTGTGCCACCCCACTCGCACCATTTCACACCTGAACATGGCAGCGCGGGACACACACTGCACAGCCGGCTGGGGGGGCTCATGGGAGTGCTTGTAGTGGATGATCATCTTCTGCTTGCTGTCTGAATGCATTTGGGTTTTTTTTCTTGTGCCAAAGGGTTTCAGCTTTTCTAAATGCTTCAACTGCGTGTGCCTCACACCCTCGGCAAGTCCATACTGCTCTTACTGCGTTCCCTGGTCCGGTTTTAAGTTGGCCCTGCATGCTCAGATATTCTGATAATGCTCTTTTAAAACTACTTTTTGTGTAGCTGTAATTAAAGACAGAATTTGCCCTTTAAAACTTGTTATTTTGGGAGCTGGAGCCCGGCCTGCGCTGTTGTTGCTAGCAGGCTACGAATGCCATTGTCCTGGGAAGCCGAGCGCAGCCAGTGGCGCTGGAAGGCAGCTCTGGAATTTCACTCAGCTATTTTTAGTCAGTGGTGAAAAACTGCACTTTTAAATCTTTGTCAGCGCTTAAATAAATCAAAGGGCAAATCGTGACTTGCTATGAGGGGTCACAAAGAGGTGACCTTAAGCTGCTGTGGAGGCTGAGCTGGTGAAAAGGTGTAGTGCTGGGAGAGAAGAGACCCGGTTCCGCCCGGCCATTGCTGCCCTGCTGGGCAGGGGGTGGTAGGACACGGCTGCACAGCTGGAGCCATCCGCCTGTCCTGCTTACCTCTGATGGTCCACGACCATTGCTGCACTGCGGTAGCTTCCAGCTCCTTGCTCTTCTCCCTGTAGCCCTTCTTGGGCTGGTCCCCCACATTTCCCTCTGCCTCCCTGAGTCTCCCCCTTTGCTGTGCCATAGCTGTGTAGGTCTGTGTATGTGGGTCTGCTCTCCACACCCTGCACTGTGGTCACCCTGGATGTGGCAGCTCTTCAAAAGCCGGGACCTGGAGGCAGGATCTCCTGAAGGTCACTGTGGCTGACTATCAAGCTGTCTCATGTTGGACCATTCCCTTCAACTCTAACTGCCTCCATAGCTGTAAGGAAAAAACAGCTCTAACACAGTTTCTTCTTTTTTAATGCCAAGGCAGGAGTTTTATGAGAAGCTGCTTCACCTGTTTGGCCACCAAGTTTCCACATTGACTCAAAAAAACGTCATTCTCTGGCAACGGGATCCTCACAGCCATATTTCCTTGCCTTGGTGTTCCCTGCCATGTGCTTGGAGAGCCCCAGGCAGCTCCTTTGCTGCTCGCTTTCCCCTGTGCTCTGACTTCATGACTTGGTTTGAATGAGACCTTAGACTGGGCTCAGTTGTGGCTCCCAGTAGCCTCCAGTCACCCAAG